TGATTATAAACTGAAATAAAAAAATGGGTAAATTTATTTATAAAAGGTTGGATAATGTACTTAAAGAGTTTAATATTAACAAAGTCTGACCTGCTACATACATTTAGTTAAACGATACCATTCCTGATGACGTAAGGTCTAAGGCCATGAGTTCCGATCGACTATGAGTCAAATAATGTCACAGTCTGCAATGTCTGTGCTCAGGAAAGTGACTTAGGTAAATATCAACAGTGGTGTTTAACATGTGCCTCACTGTAGCGAACTAATAACGTCATTAATTTCTGCGTGCGGATGCGTCTGTACTTCTTAAAACCTTAAATCGTGTCCAACTATTGTTTATCGCGTAAGTATCTTTAAATGTATTAATGCATTTGTCAGCCTAACTCCTTCACATTGCTGTAGAAAGAGAAAATGCATGACGAATGACGTAAGAGCGTGGAAATCGGGAAATTTAAGGGACTTTGGTGGTAATCGTAGCTACCCCATGTTACTATCTTGAACTGCTGCCCTACTCACTAACAAAAGCATTTTTTCAGCTGCGTGCGTCGCAGATTTAATCTGGGTGCTTTTTAAATGAGACGTACTTGATCTGCCTATGTTGCTTGAAGAGAGGCATAGCTTCTCTCCATGCACTAGACGCTATCGAATATCGTTTGTAATATTATGTCCATCTGAGAGTCACGGTTGAGGGTATGCAATTGTGTCCTTTATGAAAATATATTTTTTCAGCTGAAAAGCCCTCACCTTAATGTTTCCAGATTCGCTTATCTTGATGAAAATATGTGGGGTGATGACGTGCCAGCAGGATCCACTGGTTGATCAGCGCTACAGCAGACGTGGTCATGAGCTAATCTCCCTACCGTACGCCAATCCAACACTTGGCAAAATAATAAAATAGCCAGAGTTTGTGGGGTTAAAGCCTAAAGGATTTGAAGGAGTTGCGCGTTCACAAAATGCTATATTGCTATCCCAAACTTTGCCCCAGGTCAAGTAGTAAACTGTTGGCACCGACGGGTCAAAATTGACCCTGATGTGTGATAAGGTGTATTTTTTAATTCCATCAGTGGGTAATGTAATTTGTTACAGGCCCCATCTGGTCTGCCTCTATGTGTTCCATGAAAGCCGGCGTTGACTGACAACTGATGACCTCAACTACACAGGTTCTCAGGGTTTCCTTAAGATACTGAAGACTTAATAATGCATTAGCTGGAAAAGATGGTCTATCGAAGTCATGACCAGCGGTAAATTGCAGCAAAGTAAAATTCCAAGTTCGGTTCACTAAATACATAAGGATTTGTACTTTTTTGTTAGTGGCTCATATTCAATGGTGATTTTGTAAGCATTGTTTTTGGTTCGCCTATAAAACAAGGTTTGTGTACTGTTTCTATCTGGAAAGTTAATTGCTCTGCGGCTCGAGTAAACAAAATGGTTAACCAACGTGCAGAATACTTTACATGAGTATCCATACATGCTTACTCACTGTCACGCAACAACAGGTATAAAAATAGCATAAAGATGGAAGAAAGACTTAAATGGCTTGTGGAATGGTAGGTCAAGTCAGACAAACGAGTACTCAGACATTCTGTGTAGCCGTACTTTGTCTATCCCAATCTCGCATATCGTACACACTTTCTGGAGTAGGTTTTCCGTACTTTACCGTACCTCTGTGGCGGATATCATCCAACCAGCGAAAGCTATAGGCAGTATATACCTTTTCATTATGCTCCGATATAAGGTTACAGAAAGGTAGAAAGTACGTAACTGCTTTTTCTTTTTCTTTTCCATCATGTTTGAATGTAGGTGCACGTGGGACGAGTAGCTTATTGAGTGTCTTGAATTACTGCTTTTCAAATCCTCGCCATCCACGAAAATAAAGGAAGCGTTAATCCTGAAATTTGTCCAGATTTGTTGAAGCTGACATCAGCATATAAACTACATCTCTTTCGGCGTCCACCTCCAGGCATTTTCTGGACACTGTAGCCCTACTGTTGATAGCTGCAAGCAGTGAAAAATCATGCAATAGTTGTGACACTGCAAACAACGTCTTCTTTGGTAAAACTACATAATAAGTGGCTAATCGGTTTGTTTTATAAACAAAATGAGTGTATATGAGTCTGAAAGAAAATACTGTTCTTTTCAGGTTTGTTGGGTTACTCCTGGAGACTTACACAATTTGAACTTAAATTGGCGAAGGTGATTACTCAACCAGAATTTTAAACGATATTATTTCGTGTGGATTAACTCTGAAAAAGACAGCATTTTCCTGCCATCCGGTAGGATAACTCACTGTGATACATATTATTCAGTAGCCGAGACTAGTATCTAGCTGTTCCATGGCAACTTAAAATTCCCTAATTTAAAAGTGCGGTAAGAAGTCGAAGCTGGTGGATGCATACATTACGCATGGTCTCCTCAGTACCATTAACAGCCGGTATGCACTATATACCTATGCATGTGACCAACTAGGCTTGAAATGCAAAGTGAGTGACGGAAGTTCCACTCCCATATGCGTGGCAGCCTTGAAGTGACAAAAAAATATTTTTGAGCACACAGAGCCGGCTTCATCCAGCCTATGCAACAGCCGCGGTGAAACCGATGAGGCTGGGATGCTAGTGAGGTAACGCATCTGTGCACACTGATCCAAGCTGTATCCGGTGGCGTGTGACCGGTAGGTGTTTACCTATTAACGAAGCTGACGGTCTGTGAAAGCACGGAAACTCAGGGGGCAGGGATGTTGGTCAGTTTCACATTGAACCCACCTCAGTACGTGTTCCTTCATTCGGGAAGTCAAAGAGCTATCGGCTCGGTAACTGGCTTCGCAATTACATACGGATTGATATATGCAGTGTGAGTTGGCCCTCATTAGTCGAGCTCCCTTCGTTCGGGACACCGGCAAGTTACGATTTGGTCATTCTTGGCTACTAGAAATTATCTTACCGACATCTGGTTGAACACCGCACCTGGTCCAATGGGGGATGGGTGATCAACTTGTATCAAATCAGCATGGATATATCTCGTTCCGTGTGCACAATACACGTCCGCTGTTAATTTGGAAATAGATTACAATTTCACATTCATTGCTACGATCCAGCATTCTAACGTTAGTCTTTCCACTACAATCGGTTGACGTAAAAGAGATGGGTATCTTTGGTAGCTCAAACGGCAGCTCGTATGGTTTTACGTACATATTTTTGGTTTGATGAGTTAGGTTTCTCACCTACTTTTGTTGCTTCCGAGCAGAACTTGTTTGCCCACCAAGTTGATGTGTTAGCGTCCACTTCAACTCGCTTCGTTGCATAAAGTACGAACGCCAGCCTTTGCCTAATATGGTCCGCTGTGATTGGCTACATTCACATTCCGATGTTGGCATGCGGTTAGCTATCCGTACCAGGGCTGGTGGCAAGTAGTTCAATAAGTTTCATTGGAGAATTAGGTCAATGTCAGCGATATGGTACACACTGGACTGCCGGGTCTACCACTGTCTCATAGGTGAAAGCAGTTATCAAGCCACGTGTGCCCGTTTCTGAAGATAAGTAACGCCTTGGTCTGAAGCATTGCACTTCAGGCTACCAAGTGTTACACAGGGCCAGTTATACCTATGTTGTTGATCCATCTCTATCCAAACACAATTCACGCAACAACTAGGAAGGAGTTTTTACTGGAGAAGTCCAATCAATGAACGCGCGTGTTTGTGTACGATTGACTCATTGTTTTTAAACAAACGGCTCAAGTTTACGGCATAGCTGATCAAGTGTACACATTAGGGTGAATACACAGCCGGTGTAGTGGTCGATGAAAACACAATTTAAAAGTAATCCTGGCACCCCGTCATCAAAGACGAAGAGCACTCGTAACTCACTATCCACTGAACAGCATAAAATCTGCCATCCGAGTTCACGAACAGACTGCAGTTATTTATCATTTGGATTAACTACGTTTAGATTGAAATAAGTGGTGACTGGAAAATTGGCGTGTAATCGCGGAAATTGTCTGTCAAGTTGAAATGTTGTCGTATGGATATATAATTACTTTAGAGCAGTTGAAAAACCTAGCCATCCGTGCATAAGTAACCAGACAGTAGCAGAGCTAGGAAACATACTGAAAAGTACCATGTTATATACAGACAGTGGGATCAGGTGTCAAGCCTACCAGTACTAGTTGGTGTGACTGCGGCGTGATCGGCAATTTCAGTGAAAGTTGAGGTGTAGAAATGGTAACTTTTAGCGCTGGATATATCAGTGTACTAAATAGTTTGACCTATAAGTATAAAGGCATTTTCTTAATGTGTTATTAAAACACTGTAATAATTATTCCTTAAACATATCGCATTATTTTATTTATCCCATTTTGTTTAGCAGGAACAGGTGTAAAACATACATTCTGAAATCGAACCTACGACATGATGGGTACAAAATATTATGTGAAGTAGCAGAATGAAGGTCATATACTAATAATGTCGCAACCAATTGCTGGCAGCAAACATCCGATTCAACACCGGATCTAATTTCGTTATTTAAGGGGGGTGGCACGTAGAGCAATAGTGTGCACTTTTTCCGTCATGCAACTGCAGCATCAAGCGAAAGTAGCGAAATCAAATGCTTGCCTATGCTTACTTTGTAGTAATATAGTTGATGTAACGTGCAACCTAAAAAGATGGTTACAAATTAATGACGATAGTGTTCCCCACTGTACTAAAGATGCTGGGGTGAATCCAAACGGAAGCAGTTATTTCCTACTTTAACGAACAATAATTTATCTAATAGGGCGACTGATATTTTGCGGGAGAAAGATAAAGACGCTTTTGCTAAATTTATAGTGCGAAATATTCACTGTAATATGCGGTGGGTATTAGTTTGGATAGTTAACTACCAACTGAATTACACCAAGGTTTCAGTAGACCAGTTGGAGTGGCTGCACGAGAATTATGGGTGATCTGAACTTTAGAAACTTACTGTTCAAACCCCGTTTAAAAATGAAAACATGTGCCTTGACAAACTCACCGAACATGTTCCGTCGAGACTTGAACCAATTTAGCGGTCTGAATTTTTCCGGAAGGCAAAATCCCCTTTGTCCCTGCCTTCACTTCAGGCTCACTAGGTGGAACATATTCCTTTCCTTGCCGACTATTGCGACGACCGAACTGTGTTGTTCCCTGCCTTCCGCGTGGAAACTTGGAGCCGCGCGTTTGGGGCGGCTTCTTCGTCTGGTTTTCCGAGTCGGTTTTGACCGACAGCATGGTGTATCTAAATATCAAATTTATAACGCTTTGACCTAGCAGTTGCGTACATTCTGAAAAAGAAGAGGTAAAAGCTTGTGAGGGCACTTCTTGGACTAGTAATTAGCTCAAGTGGCATTGTTTATTTTATGAACAGTTTTTGCAGCAAATCACAAAACCCATTGTAACACAACCCCAACTGGCCTACCAGATCAGCCGACATAAAGAGGGTAGTTACGTTTCACCACCAGTGCCTTCGCAATCCGGCTCATATATGGTAGGAACACCGTGTGCGTAATGAGCGTTTTCGACGTATGGTCTATGGAGCAGGAAGAAGAAGCGAACCGCTCAGTACCGTTAATTTAAGCACCAGGCTTCGATGACTGGGTCACGTATGCATACCAGCCCACCGAGTCCTGCGACGGGTGTCGTTTGCGCGCCGGAGTTGCGGATGGAAGAAGAGGAGCGGATGTCAAGCGATGATTTGATCAGGAGGAAAGAAGACTCTTACTTCGAAGTTGGCCTTATTTGGAGCCTATCCGCTCCCTGGTTGAGAACCGAAGGACAATGAACACGTTAGGCTGGATACGTTTGTTGAAATGGTTGGGAGTTTCTTTGTCCCTTCTCCTCCCGTTTAGTCTCTCCTGCAACCATGATCACATCTATTAGGCATAATGTAACTATTTTGCGGCAATATAACCAGTTGTTAGCTCTCCGAAACGATGTGCACCCGTTACTGGTGACTTAGCCGGCATGTCACTGTCGCATATTTTTTCTTTTCTTTAGTATTGCGACACCATAGATGAGTTGTTTTCCACCTGGAGCTAACGTGTATAATGATGGTGCTTCATAATTGCGTTGGAGAGTATGATATTCCATAAACTTGTCAGCTGTTCTATTTTCAGACGAGCTTTAATTTCAATCCCGGCTACTTACAGTTCGGATCCTGTGAGCGAGGCTCAAGCAAAACGCAACCGATCGTGCAGCCAATTAAATCCTAGTAATCTTACTTTTATTTTTAACATGCCAACTTATTGTGCAACCATGAAAAGTGACAAACGATTAAATTGTCACCACGTGGAGCGTATGCATGAAAATATCGATAACCCATGCTTTTAACAACATTACTTTTGCAGTACTTTCTAATGTCATGTTGTCGAACACTGGCTTCTCTATCAAGCCCTATATGGACAACCTTGCCAAACAGCTGGTGTTGGGGTTGCGGTAATCCAAGTATTTCCAGGCACACCGCTGCTCCCACCATATGTTGGGTGGCACAATTCGCCTGATAGGGGAATTCATACGTGTATTCTGATTTACTTGAAATATGGAACCAAAAACGTATCACATTCGGTTGCACAATTTAGTGAAGTAAGTAAAAATGCCAAATCCGTTGCTCAATCAATTAGTTAAGACACAACAACACAGGATGAACTCTAGTCTATGCGAAATAGCCGTGAAACCTGCCGGTCCCGCTCCCCCATTCGTGAAAAAGCAGATATTTATGGTCTTAAAATCGAACGACTAAGTAAGTATGTACCAAGGTTCTAGTTAGGATATCACCGAGAAAACTGATGAAACAAAACGGATCTTGTTTTTTAAGAATATCCATGATACACTGGTGCTTAGATGTTAACCTACTTCATGCACGTCGAATCCTACTTTATGTGCATGCCTTCAACCATGTCGTGATTCCATAACAAAACAGCGAAACAATACATCGAGATAAGATGGCGACGTAGAGCCTTGCTTATTTTTATTATTTTCCATTTGGAGGCGGTCTAATTGTGGTTTCTTGACAAATGTTTCTTCCGCTATTGTGTGGGCTCTGTTTTGCTAATATACAAGAGCTAGAGCTCAGGATTTCCAACATCTTTGAACACCCTTACTGGCTGTTTGATCTTTCCTTCGTGTAGCTTGTGTGTAGATCACTGGCTTTACACACTGTGCACTGGTGTAAGGAGTTTTGCGTATTCACCAATAGTGATCACGTAGACATCATAAGACAAAGATGTTCTGGTCTTAATACGTTTCGCCCGTCTCATACCAAAACAAGTGATAAAACTTAACCTGGAAGTGGGGAATAGATGAACGGTAAGTGAAGGTAGCAATTCCAATAGAAGGACGTTACTTCACATGAAACCACAATCCACATGATTTATGTAGTAAATAGACATCACATGAGAGTCGAGACAAGTTTGACAGCCCCCAGCGGGCCGGTCTCATTTTTCATCTCTTACGAGACCGACCCTGAATGGCTGAACTAGCCTCCCTCCATGAGTGGTAAATGGCGCATGCTTTGCCTTAGTGAACTCCCCGAGTTGATAATGCTTGTGCATCGAAGTTAACTTGCTTCTTCTTTTAGAAAAGGTTTACGAATTCCATCATTGCTTAGCTTTACAAACAGTCATTACACATTGGTCAAACGGTTTAATACCAGCAGTGGTGTTATTCTTGAACTATTAGACGGTGTGGTATATATACGCCACAGTAGGTACGAGCAACGTCTTTATCCCATCCATACCACGTATCTCGATCGACAAGCTGACGTTACCTGCTAGTTTTTAGTCAAAGTATGAGTAGCAAGACTACTTCCTGATACAGCTGGCATATACCCGTTGGCGTGATTTTCTTATTTAACTGGTCTGTTGGATCTGCGTTATGGTAATTTTGTAAGAAGGATCAAGATGATAGTTAGGGCAGGTATTTTAATCCTTTATTCTGTAGAAGACATGATGATATCCAGACCTATCAGTCAACCATCTTGCCATACCCAAAACCGTATTATTTATCAAGTAGAAAGTAACTCGTCATATGCGGGCATTGACATATTATTTTGACTGAGTCTATTAAAACCTAATCACCCAGCTATTTTAAACGAACCCAGGTGGCCCATTACCTACAAAAAACCCGTTCCGTTTATTATTCTGTTCTAAGTGCTTTTAGTCAACACCCATTCTAAAACGACAACCTGGGCATTACTTATGACAATTTAGTCTGTATCCGAGTAACCCTGGGTGCGAAGTACAGTCGCCACGCTCCTCATCTAAATTAGACTACGTGACGGCAGTTTGCGAACAATGTCTAACCAAAGCACAAGTGGGATTTGTGATAAAGCTGAGTAGGTATCCAACGTTGGCCTGCCTAGTTTCAATGTTCCATTCCGTTTGTAGGTATTACCAACATATACATATTGCCAACATATACATAAAGTGCGCTGACATCTGGGCTGAGTAAGCACCCACTAAACACAGTTGAAGATCACTGGTCGCATACTGGTAAAGTGTTGCTGTTAGCAGGCATGTCTTCCTGTGGCAAAATAAATTGCAAAACCGGACATTGGGTCTCTACGCAGTCTCTGAAACTTATGGATGCTCGCCGACGTATTCCGGCTGGAAACTAATACAATGAGACTCGCAAAAATGTCAATGCAAAACTACATGCTAGCCTGAAGAAGGACCGCGAATCCTGATGGTCTCATCGTGCATCGGAAATGGAAACAGCCGCTGCCGTTGGTAATCATCGTAAGTTATTCCATCTGATACGGGAAACAGGCAGCAGAAGACCTGGTGTTAGCGAGACCATGCGCGACGAGAGTGGGCAGCCGATCCACAACCTGTCAAAACGCTTGGAGCGTTGGGCTAAACACTTTGCAAGGCAATTTAATCAACCTGAGTTATCGCTTTTTTCTTCGGGCATTGAGCGCTCTTCTCCCTGGGCCGTCTCCTTGGATCCGCCATCACGCGCAGAAGTCGAAAGTGAGATCAGGCTGTTGAAATTGCATAAGACCGCAAGGGCAGATAGAATTCCCCCAGCCCACTGCAAATTCTGGGAACCTGCTCTAATAGATGAGATACACGAGTTGGTAGTAAAACTTTGGGAGCAGGAGACAGTCCAGACAGACTGGAACCGCTCCGTCATTGTCCCAAGTTGCAAGGGAGGCTCTCGTTTGGAATGCGGCAATCATAGAGGGATCAGTCTGATTTCGATTGTCTCTAAATTGCTTGCCTCTATCATTCTCCACAGACTGACTGGCACTCGTGAAAGCCAGATTCGTGAAGAGCAAGCCGAATTTCGTCGAGGTCGGGGCTGCATCGACCATATCTTCACCTTGCGTCAAGTGTTGGAGCACCGCCATGTTTTTTTGGCAACTCACCGTTGTCGTGTTTCTTGACATAAAATGTGCCTTCGACTCAGTCGATCGATGTGCCCTTTGGGACTGTCTGTTGAGGAAAGGAGTGCCTGATAAATATGTAAATATTATCAAGGCGCTGTACGAGCATAGTTCGGGCAAAGTGAGGGTTTATGGCAAACTGTTGCCACCCTTCAGTATCACCAGCGGTGTGAGACAAGGATGTCCGCTGTCACCTTTTCTCTTCAACTTCGCTATTGATGAAGAGATGGAGACAGCGTTCGCTGGACACGACGTAGAAGGTATGGAGCTACTTCCTGGTGAGCGACTTCTTGACTTGGAGTATGCGGACGTTATTGCCCTAATCTGTGACAGCTCCCAAACATGCCAAACAGCACTGGACCGATTAACACTGGCTGCCAATCGTTTTGGACTATGCTTTGCTCCATCGAAATGCAAAGTACTTCTCCAACATTGGCAGGGACCCAAACCTGCGCTAACACTTGATGGTGATCTGCTAGAAATCGTTCAGGAATTCAAGTACCTGGGCAGCTATATTAGCACCCGTGGGATTGAAGATGAGGTTACGAACCGCATAGATAAAGCTCGAGCTGCTTTAGCCAATCTCCGCCACCTGTGGCGCAGACGCGACATTACTCTCGCCCTGAAGGGCAGAGTTTACAAGGCAGCCGTGCGTTCAACTCTCCTATATGGCTGTGAAACCTGGCCCATCAGGTCGACAGACATGAAGAGTCTCGTCACATTCGATCATCGTTGCCTTCGCAGTTTAGCTCATGTCTGGTGGGAACACCGCGTGACCAATGAGCGTGTTCGACGTCGCGTATTTGGTGCAGGAGGAGCGAGTGAACCGCTCAGCACCATTATATCACGCACCAGGCTCCGCTGGCTGGGTCACGTGTTGCGCATGCCAACACACCGACT